TATCAGATCCAAAAGTACTTGTGAAGCAAACTGGACAACAAGTGACACATAACTACTTACTCCCCACTTTAAATCTATTTCATTGGGAACAATTTCTTCTATCTTTTCTCTGTAAGGTATAAAAGGAATGAAAATTTCCTTGTGGTACAGAATCCTTTGGAGAACCTTAGCAGCCACTTCTCTTAGTTTATCCATCTTTTCTACAGCTTGCTTTGCGATCCCCCCCACAAATTGGTAGCAATATTTATGTCAAAAAATGGGCACATTTGATTCTCTTCATCAACATTGCTATTAGGCAGCTTTGACACAGATTCAAGCATGTCTGGTTTCGTGGTATAGTTCGTGGAACCTCTCTTACAAAGGATATATGTGCATTTTTCAAGGCCTTCCATAGCGGCCTCACGAACCCAAGAACCCACATCACCTCTGTTATCTACAGAATAGTCATCAAGAGCTTTAAACAAACTAACCATCACGTCATTCTTGATGAGATGAAAGAGACATGTCATCCTCTCCAGAATGGATATCAGAATTTTCTCTTGCCTGAGTTAATGTCTCACAAACAGATATAAGTCCTTTGACAGCATTAACCCGTGCTCAGCATCTCTATCCTCAGGGTTATCCTGCACATAGAAAATAACTTATATTAGTCAAACATCCACAGTTCTTTAACAGAGAAACTTATTCACAGTGAGAACTTGTACCTCAATTGCACAAGAGCTGCAAAGCTTCAAAATCACATCCCTCCAATGATTAACCAACAATTTGTAGGATAAAACACCCAATGCCATTGCAGATCCTCTTCTTGCAGCCACATTTGAATCATCCAGGAGTTGCAGGTACTTCAATGTTATATCAATGGCACCTTTATTATCTGTAGCAACAAGGTATGCTTGTACAAAGTGTTTTAGGGCTTTCACAGCTGCAGTCTGTATATCAGATGATAATTTTGATTTTCAATTCATGATATCAAATCAATTAAGGGGAAAAAATCTATTTTTAAGGAAACAAAAAAAAAAAGAAACACATCTTATATCAGAAAAGAAGCACCTGTATCTGAGAGTTAGGGTGTCTCAAATTCTCGTTAAGGGTATCAATCAAACTTCGTTTTACTTTCTCTGGCAAAGGTAGTTGAGAGAATGAGATGCATTCAATAAACCGGGAAACAGCTGCCCGCATTATTTCTCCACCCTTCCCCCGATAAAGGCGTGCTTTCTCAATAGCAGAACATACCAAAAACTTCTTTCTTTTTATCTGTATACATAAACACAAAAATAGGGAAACTGAGATTAATATATGGATTAAAAGCTTGAACAAGTAGCAACTACTTGATTGAATGAGAAACAAAGAAAAATATGACATTTAATAAGACAAACAAAAGCAGCAGAGAAGTAAATTGATTTTCTCAATCTTTGATAAGTTGATTTCATCAAGGAGTATAAGTAGGCTTTGACTCATGGCATCTGCCTTATATCTCCCCCCTCCTACCAAACACCTATAGGATACTAAAACACTCAACTAAACCCACCAAAGCCTACAACTAGAGCAGCAGCTGCCAGTGATAATTACTAACCTAGCATTTTCTAATCTAAAATCTTGCTTTTATGTTTGTAAACATTTCAAACTAAGCATTTTGACAAATTCTATTTTGTTTCCAAAATATTCTGAAACATTGCATATTCAAGCAAACAACAAGATGCAGTCAGCGAATTCTCAATTTCTGACATTGTTCCATTCTAAAGGTGCATTAGAATTAAAAGCAGAATGGATAAGAATAACCTGAGATTGAAGCATCCCTGAATAGAAATCTAATCAAACCCTGAACAATTCTTTGGTCAAACTTACATGAATTTAGTTGAATTTTCCATTAACTAACTATATACTTATAGAGTCAGAAATTGCTACCACTGGAAGATCATAACCACATCGATGTAGTGCCAAAACAAGTTTCTCCAGCAGCCAAGGTTGCACCATGGCGTGTGCATAAATCAGATGACAGAGTAAAAAGAATTAACTTTTCCAGAACAGAGTCTGCAAAGTATGCCAGCATCATAACATGACAAGAGCAGCAAGTGCCTCTGCAGCATGCTCTTCAAGCCCTTATCTGAAGAAATCAATTATAATTCATGAATAAGTCATCTGTTCCAAAAACTGGTGGCACATCAAAAGTCACAATAACCCGAAAGAAAAAAATGGTGATGATCATTGACTACTAACAATAATTCAGGTAAAAAATAACCAAACACAACATCCTAGTGCATGCCACATGCTCCACTCAAATATATAAAACTACGAATTTTCATTTGAAAACATAAAGGAGTAAAAGGAATTAGCAATAACAACCATGAGGAAAAAATAACGATAATTTAATGAAAATTCCAATTATATAAAACAGATAAGAAGCTTTAAAGCTTTGGTTCTTGTTAGAAGTACATGGATCCTGTGAATTATCTGAGGTATAAAATAAACCAAAGACTTATAAGAAGTCCCTAGGTCAATTAATGAAGCCCTAACCTATATAAAATTATAAGTTTTGCTATCTTCTCAAACCCTAGTTAATTCCCCCTCCCCTGCAATCTGCAAGTTGGTTAATGCCTTTCCATGCAAAAAATATCCATCAGCATGGCTATCCTATTATCTAACTTGTTGAATGACTCTGAACCAACTTTACCAAGCTAACAACCAAGTAGTAACATCACTTCAACAGGTCGCTCTTTGAAGCCATAGTTTTCTCAAAAGTTCGGTGCCTGGTGAAATATCTAAAATGTGGAAGAAAAAGCACAAGTTACATCATAACTCAACACAAGAATGGCAACACTCTTATAAATCTTTGCTTATTTAACCCAAATAAAGTCCTTCAAGATATAAAAAGAGATGGCAGGATATGCTCCATCCAACAGGACAACATCCAGAAAAGTTAGAAATTCATCTAATGAACACAAGCTTTAACTTAAACATCAGACCATACCCAGTGACAGATCTTGTTATGCAGAAGCTCATCCACAAATGGATGAAGATACCCTTCATATTGAACAATACAGACAGCAACATGAATGTAAGAGTTCACTCGTGACGAAAGCGAAAAGTAATCAGCAGTATTCACTATATCAATGCCATGTGGGTAATTTCCTTGTCTTCCAACATTCTCCTGAAAAGCAGCTGCAGCAGCTCTTCTACAGTTAACCTAATGAATATATCAAAATCTTTAGCATGGCAAAATAGAACATAAAATATTAGGCTCGAGCAGAATTTATACCACAAAACAAGACAAATACACAGAGGTCAGCACCTCACGATCGTAGCACGCCACACTTAATAGGTCGGGAGCAAGCTGATCCAATACATTTCTCATATCTGTATGATAATACGCACGACCAAATGCCCAACAAACATAGGCAGCAGCATCTCGTACATGAGATCCAACACTATGTGGACCTCTTCGAACATCATAATGTAATGCCTATCAAGAACACTGCTCAAAATCAGCAAATAAATTTGACTCTTGATGCAAAAGGCATTTGAAGCAAACAATTTCTACTTAAAATGTAAGTCAACCAGGCTCAGGCATCCATATCAACTTTTATGGATTCAAGGAGGAACTTCATCTAGGTTTCATGGTAATTCAATTACTTTGAGAAGGTTAAAAACCACACAACCTTTACAACAACAGGTACGACTTTGGAGAGACTGGTAGGTAAGAGCAACCCTCTCCTTGCCAGTTCAGCCAATGCTAAGCAACCTCCATGCCATGAACCATCTCCCTGAAAAATCAATACATATCAGCATGACTCCTATAGTCTATCTACAAGCTAAAAATGGTTCAAAAATAATTTTATAAGGAATTCAAGTGAAATATGGTATTGCTAGGCATGCATAAGAGATCCAATTATCCATCTCATTAGGGAAGAACAAGGATATAAAAGAAAGAAACAGCATCAGCATACCTCACCAGGTGTAAACAGCTCCAACACAGATGACAAGACCTCTTCTGAGAGCACAGATGTTAAACGTGAAGTTACACGGCCTATACCTTTCGCAGCAGACCAACGTACAACAGTGTCCTACATACCAAATCTCTGATAATCAAATCAGCAGTCTAAAAGAGCAAAAAAATGAATGCGTTGCTCATCTAAAAGAATCCATAAGTTCATGTCAAACTTCTCTCTGTTGCTTGGTTATATGCTTGCTCTACAATGGTATAATAATGCTTCAACAACTGGGACCACTTTCAATTACACAGTCATGAGGGAACTATTTTGAGAACATGTAATAGACATGAAAATTTCATATTTACAACATTTTCAAGTGAGTCTACATCTTCTATTTCACTGTAAACTCTTCAAAAGGAATGATTGGAATTCCATTTACAGTCATATTGAAGTTGAAGATTGCGGGTACCACCAAGGACTACTTCACATTATGGAAAGACCAAGGGTGCCCAAATATGATATTTTGATGAAAGATGAAGTCAACAAGGTAAATAGAAGTTCAGAGATGACAACAACATCATTCAGAGCTTTCATAGAAGCTAGTTTACATAAGACAGCAATAAGTTCACATAATAGAATCTAATTCTTAAAACATACCGTGTCTCTCAATCCAGAAAGCAACACCTCAATTATCTCTTCCAGAATATCTGGAACATCCAGATCTTCATCTTGAGGACAGTTGGAATTTTCTTCTGATTTGGAGTTCTCTAGAACCAGACCATGGTTTAATTGATCATTCTTGTTGGATGCATTCAAAGAAATATTCTCTCCAAGTGAGCTGGTTCTTCCCTACATAAAAGGCAAACAGAAAGGTAAGAGAGCACCATCAAAGTGGAACTATATCTGGTTAACACAATATCAGTGATAAAATAAGAACTTCACAAAAATCACTTTGCTAAAGACAATAAATTAAATAAGTACAAGCTAATTAGCACCAGTAACAACTCAAAAGCATACACAAAGTACATAATACTCAGGTAAATCCTTCAAGGATGGAAACTTGGCATGTTCTATAGGATCTTTGACCAACATATACTTAACTTTTCAATAACTTTGCTCTTTAGACAAATGTAATAGTTTTCGTGTGTGTGAAGCAGTCCTGAGTATATGTAGTTTACAATCAGAAAGCAAAGCATTCAGCAATACTAACCACATAACGCCAGGTTGGTGAACGATGAGGGAGGCAAGTAAGTCCAATTCTTTGAGTTAACTTTACCAAATGCTTGCGAAGCAAAGGACTCCTAGCAGCAGTACCTGACTTGATCAAAAGGGAGACATCGTTCCAAATGGTAGGAACAACATCCACCAACACTTTCCTGCTGCCAGCCTGACCACAGTAAAATAGTACAAATGAGATTGATAAATCAAGATAAAGAACACAATACAAAATAGACGTAATATGATTAATATGAAAGATATTAATTTTCTTAGCATAAATGAACGATCTACAGAATACTTTCAAGTGCATGAAAGTTCTCTACCATTACAGATATAAAATGGTACCACCAGAGTAGCCACTTGATTAGCAATAAGGAATTTTTATATTATATTGCCTTATATTTATTTTATAGCTTTAAGTCAGTATAGACTATAAACACAAAAGTATCCAAAGCAAACCTTAAAAATGGCAGCAAGGGCTTCTACAGCACCTATCGACTGAAAATGACTTACAACATCATCCACTGACGAAGATAAAACTTCATGAGTCCATTCAATAAAGCTGAAAACAAAGTAACAAGAAGCATTCGGTTAGCTAACACAGAGGAACTCAATTAAGTTAAATTTAAGCATAATAACCAAAGAAAAAAGTCTAATGCATGCGACGATAAAAGACCTGGCCAAAGCCTTAGGCATATCCGGCCGTGTTAGGAGCTTTGAGAAGACTAATCCTGCCATAGTACGCATCGGGCCGGCATTGGAAAGGTAATCTTTAGAAAACCCTATTATTCTCAACACCAAAGGAGCCAACTCATCCTCACCGGTGCTACCAATGCTATTCGCAATGCTAGTATCAACAGAGGATATATCAAATGGAACCAAAACAAGAATTGAAAGCCACAAAAGGATCACGCATTTCGCCTCCATTTCTCCCGTACTTTCTTGCCGCAATGACGTGACGGATGATGTGTTGTGGCATTTTTCCAGGAGAGAAAACAGCGATTTCTAGATCGGAAACTTGATGTGGAAAGAACTTGATAACGGATTTGTAACCGGAAACGGTTACAAGAGAATAAATAATGATAGATATAGGCTTGATTATTTGGAGAATCTCATCGGAATTGATGCCTAGTTCGACTGTTTTAGATCGGATGATGAACATTAAAGGCGAAACCATGCTTTCCAAGTAGGGTTCTAGCAATTGGCCTTGTTCTTGATACTTATCCATCTGAAAAAAAGAAAAAAAAAAGGAGTTAAAAGGTAAAAAATTAGGTATAAAAGAAAAAAAAAAAGGGAGAGAGAGTACAATGGAACGGATCTTGTGAACGGATGTGGGATCTGAGACACGGCCATTGGAAACAATGTCATCGAGGAGAGATTTCACCAGTTTCCACTCTTGGAGAAAGTATCTTTGTAGAACCCTTTCCTTTGAGTCATGCTCATCGTCTTCTTCCTCGTTCGCTGCAACTCCCTTATCCTCTTTCTCCCTAGTCACTTCTTCTCTCGTCGCCATTTTGCCTTCTTTCTGTTCTAGAAAGATAATAAAGGAAGCAAGAAAGGGGTTCCTAAACCCTTTCCACCCTGACTCTCCAGACTTGAGAGAGTGTCACTTCTTACTGAAACACTGATTTCAATAGATTTACTCCACCATTTTTGTCTTGTTTCTATTAGTTTTCTCTTCTGCTCTCAAAATCAAATTCCAAGCCCATCCTTGTAGGATTTGGTTTCACAAATGATTCATTCGCTTTGGCTTCCTCCAAAATTATTAATATGTCCATATGAAATAAAAAGGCCACATCATATTTTTTTTATTTTATTTTTATTTTCCTTATTTCAAAATCTAGACTTTTTTTTTTTTCTCTTATTCTAAAATCCGGATCGTTCTCTCTCTCTTTCTCTCTCTCCATTATAGCAATTAGCAAGCAGCAGCCACCATCCACCAAGCCTGCTCCTTACAAAATTTTAGTAATTTGTAATGTATGATTGTGAATGAAATTCAGCCAAAAGTATAACATCAAAAAACAGTTTAATCAAAACTGATTTAAAAACAGAATCTATTGATTTCTTGGTTTCTACAAGAAATCAAATATTGATTAGATGGTTATTGCTTTGACCAACAACTTCTTCCAAATCCTTTGCTATTATCTCCTCCATTTGAAGACAATGTTAAACTTCAAGGTTGAAGTTTAACAATTTTTTAAATTGTGAAGCCCACATTTTTTTATTAAATTTTTTTGATGTAAGATTATAATTTGGTTTTTTTATTGATTTTTATTTTATAAGACCCGTATTCCTCTTTGGGTTAATTTTTTAGGTGTGATACTCATGCATTGATTTTATTTTATCCTTTTTCGGTGTTTTTTTTATTATATTAAATAATTAGATTGCCACTCATGTGATACATGAAATAGTGTTTTTTATTTAATATGGATATATACATATATATTAATTTTTTAAAATTATATTTAAATTTTTTAAATTTATAATATATATAAAATTCATATTTATTGACTTGTCATAAAAAATAAATTTTTTTAAAAAATTCTATGTATTCCCTTTAAATTATTTTTATCTAATATTTATATACTTGTAAAATTATATCAAATAAAAATAAGTTATGTTTTTCTTAAAAAACAAAAACGTTTATATTATTGAATGATGAATTAAATAATAAAAGAAGTATTAATATATTTTCATTTTTGTAATCTTGATCAAACTATTATACAAACTATGAAATATATTAGGAGACATGTGAAAAAAGAAAAAATAAATTAAAAAATATTATTTTTCATAAGAAGGAAATTGTAATAGTAATAAAATATGTCTTAGAAAAATGTTGTAAAAAAAAAAATTATAATAGTAATAAAAGTTGCAAACGTATATAATACATTACATTTATAATTTTAAATTTGTAAAAAAATTCTTGAGCAATAATTAGTATTGAATAGATGATTTTCAAATTAATTTTTTAAAATTTAAAAGGGATATGATAAGTGATAAAGATAAAATCAAATTTTTTTATATTTATTTAAAATATAAATTTAATAATTAGAGTTGAGATGGATATAATCCTTTTTATGGTCTTATTATTTAAAGATTTAACATGAAAAATGTTTGAATTTTCAATATTTTATGTAAATTTTTAAAAGGATAATTTTTTATTGATTTAAATCAAAATAAAAAAAGTTATTAAAAGATTTGGAGAAACTTAATTTTTATAATTTTTAAACATGTTCAAAGATTTTGATAATTAAATAATTTATTAAATAAGGTTGTTTGATAAATAACTAAAATTATTTATTATGAAGATAAAATTCATAGTTTAGATTTTTAATTTAAAAAAAATCTAGATTGATTAAATTTTCAATTATAATTTGAATAATTTTGATATTTAAATAAATTTAAAATTATCTGATTTGTAACTAAAATAAATTATTCTATTTTAAAAAAATCCTATGGGTTATTCAAAAAAAAATATTCATATAGATATTCATGTGATAAAGTTTATCAAGTGTCTATGTATGTTACAAAAAAACAAAAAATATGTTTTATAAAGTTTTTTTGTACGGGACTCATTTCATTTATGCCATTTTTTTTTTCTTTTCTTTTTACGACTTTTTGTACTTCTTCTTTTTTATAATTTCTTTCAAAAAAATTTTAAAATGTTTTCGTTTTAATTTTATTTTAAAATTCACTTGCTAATCAAGGTACACCATATGTTTCTTTTTTTTTTTTCTTTTAGGTTTTTCTTTTCTTATTTTACATAATTGATAAATCATTTTTAGATTTAAATTCTTTTGTAAGATCCGTTTTATATCAATAATATACAACATGTTAAGCTATTTGATTTTCTTTATTTTTTTCATTTTTTTGTTAACTTTTTTTAATATTTAACAAATATTTTTTATATTTTAACTTTTATTATGGGTCATTTGATATTATTTTTAAAATATATGTTTTATCTTTTTTATTTTTTTAATTTGATAGTTTTAAAAATTTATATTAATGAATGTGTTGGTATTGCATTTGAACTTTATCTTTTAATTTTTTTAATCCTTTCTTTTAAAATTATTTTTTAATTTATAATATAAAATTTTTTTATAAAACCTCGACATTTGTTGACGTTGCATGCAAATTCAAGTTTCTTCCTTTTTTTTTTTTTTATATATTTTCATCTTTTTTTAAAAGGTTTTTCTTCTTTTTTTCTTTTTAAATTAATTTTTTTTTATAAAAAAAATAATGAATGTCTATACGTGACTTCTAACTTTTTTTTGCCTTTAACTTTTTTCGTTTTTAATTTTTTTAATTAGAAAATTAGAAACATTTCTCAAATCAATTTTGAAGAAAAAATATCAATGTAAGTGATATTATAATACACTCATATTCTATGAATTTTAATTTATTTAAATTTAATACATGTAATTTTTTTCTTAAATCGAATCAAATTGGATATACATTTATATTTTATTATTTTATTTTATATTATATTTAATACTTTAATCTAATAACTATGATTATCTTTTGAAAAATGTGCTGCCAGGAAGAGCTTGAGCTGCTCCCTTGTAGAAAACAAGCACGTTATGCGAATCTATTTGTAATTGCAACTCCAAGCTTTAATTTGACATGACTTCAAACCAGTGGCACAGTTCCCTGAAACAAGGTTTGCATGAACTAGCTACACATTGACTGTCGAAGAAATGACGATCAAAAAAAGCATGTGCCAAATAAATTCAGTAGAATCAATCCTATATGTCAACAAACTCCCACTACAAAACTCCCATCATCAAACTACAAATCAACTACAAAACTCCCACGATCAAACTACAAATCAACTACTTAGAATAACTTTAATTTATAAGATCCTGAAATGCAACCAAATAGCCAAATCACCCAACTAAAATTAAGATATTTACGTACGAAGTTAAATCACAACGTCAAAAAACTCAAAAACCCCTAACCACTAAATAAAATAAAAAAATCACAACATCAACAGTCCAACCAAATTAAAACCAAATTGAACTTTATCACAAATAAAACCAACAAAAGAACGATCCATCCGATGAAATACCACATCACAGATAGAGGCACAACAGAAGAATTAATGAACCCTCATTGATGAGTTTCTCCGAGATTAAATTGTCAGCTGCTTTGCTAGCTTCAGAATGTCAACACACCTATATATAAGAACCCACAAAAGGAAAATTCAATAATGATCTAAGCAAACAAGAATAACATTAACAGAACAAGCTAATAAAAGAATTGTAAGACTGTAAAAAGGATTGGAGAAATATGTAAAGCTTGCAGTTTCAAAGAAGAAGAAGGGGCTTAGCATCAAATTAAACAGCTTGCTTCCATTCATTCTAATCACTAAGCTCATCAGAGTAATAAGAATTTAAGGGTACTGGGGCAATCCTAACGTTGGATAAAACAATATTGAAACAAAATGAGATATTTTGGGAATTGAAACCAATGAACTATCCTCAACCTAATAGCCTACCGATGACAACAGAGAGTGTCTAAGGAGCCCTCTTAAACTTTGCTAATAACTCTATTTCTAGTAAAGTTAGGGTCTTGACTCTTGATTTGAAGGTTTTAGCAAATTGATCTACATTTATTTTTAACATCCGTAAACTTTATTTGCTGACTGCTTTGGTTTCTATTCTTCCTATCTTAATAGCCTTTTTAGTTGATAAAAAATCTTCAAAAATTTCCAAAACAGAAACAAATGAAAACTCACTGTTTTAGCTTGAGGAATTTGATTTGAATGGCTTCCAGCAGCTCTTCGCTTCATCCCAGTACCAACCAAGGTTGCAGAACATTTTTGGCACTCGGATAGTCCCATTCTACTGATTTCCACCATTCCTTTGGATATACGCGAATTCTCTTGAAAGGATGAGAAGCTTGTTGGTCATTGTCTTGGAAAATAGGAAGATATAGAGGCATCCTTTTTAGATTCGGACATTTCCATACTTCAATATCCTGAAGAGAGTCGCATGTCATTACGCTATTAGAACTACAGATGCTCTTTAGCTCTGGTAAGTTCTTCAATTCCAACATCATTAATTTGGGAAGAGTGAACATGGTGGGGGAATACGTTCCTTTTCCCTTGCCATTTTCTTCTTCTTCTTCTGATGCTATTATTTCCTTCATTTGTCCACAATTATCAACTACCAGCTTCTCCAGGTTTTGGAGGCCGTGTCGTAACTCAAATGGAAAGAGCTGTTTCATGTTAGAGCATCCTTCAATTTGAAATGATTTAAGATGGCAAAAGACCCCTGGCAGAGGCATGAGTGAACTCGACCTAGAAACAACACATGCTTCTTCTACTTTAACAAGCATACGCAGGTTATCCAATTTCTCAAGCCACAAGAGCTCAAGGTTCTGAAATGGGGTGCATGGTGAGGGCGATGATGATAAGTCAAGCACAGATTCTATCCCTCTACAATCATGAATTGAACAGAACCTCAACTCATTTGTTTGTTGGAAGAAGGAAATGTCGCTTAAGCTTCTCACATTGTGGCACTCAAAAATTCTTAGGCACCTAAGGTCACTTGGGAGTGCTACAGGATCTTCTCTTCCTATCGGGCACCCACTTAAAATCACATCTTTCTTGGGCAGAAGATATGGAAGCTTCAGCCGGAGAGCCTTGACACCTATCTTTGCCATTTTCTTTACAATTTCAGTAGGATCCACCGCTCCAACCACTCTCATCAGTTCTTTTTCAGCCCCTTCGAAGGCCACATATTTCTTACCTTCACCAATAAAAAATAACATAAAAGTTAAATTTATGCCCAAATATTCAAACTCAATTTCTGATATGACAATTATTCTAGCGTACAAGTACAGACATAACTAATCATCACTGTCAGTAGTGTATCACTTTCATATATAAAAAAGTACAACAAAATTGTAAATAATTAAATTTTAAATTTAACAAATTTATCCTTAATTTTTATTGTGTCTCTTTCCCTCTATATATCTTTTTATATCTATCTATTTATTTTTATCTCGAGTTTAAAGTATATTAAAATTATCTTAAAGTGCGCTTTTAGGCACCCTTTGAATTAATATCACATCATAATTTTTGAAAAGCAGGTGATAAATACTATGTACTCATCAACATCGAATCAATCCTCATGAAAAGCATTTTAATCTTAGTTAATGTATCAAAAAAATTAATCTAGTATTATTATTATTTTTAAATATTATTATATTTCTATTCTTTTTACTACCATCAAACTTAAGGCATGAAATATCATCAAATACAGTCTTTTTTGAGTCTTTTATCAAACATATAATCACAAGAAAACCCAAGATGAAAAAGAAATAAAATCAAAACAAAAGATTAAACTAATTTTAATGAGAATGGAGGTAGGTTAATTGTTGGCAACTATGTGGGTGTATTTGGTTGCAATTGAGTTTTATAGGAAATATTAGGAAACGAATTAAACTAATAGTTGGGATTCGTTCATATACTAAAACTGATTTTAAATTTCTATAAGCTATCTTCACGTTTTATTTTCTTTAAAAGCGATTATGAAATGTTGAAAACCAATTTTGATGTAACATAAGAAGGTTGGATTCACTAAATTGATATATATTTTGAAAGTTCAAGGGGCTAATTGCAACATTTTTTAGTTGAGTACCAAATTATCATTTTGGTATAGTTCTAATATCATATGTGTAATTTACTCGTTATAAAATTATTCAACACAAAATTCCATGATGAAAAGGAATGTGGATATGGACACTTAATTATAATTAGGGAATTAATCTAGTAAAATTTTAAAGATTTTATTTGATCAGTACCTGTTATGCTCTCCAAGGTTTTTAGTGCTTTAGTGTGGTTGAGTTCGTTGCAGCTTACGAGCCTGAAAGCATAAGTAAGAGATGAGCGTTCCACTTCAAGTGTCGTGGCATCAAACTTGGCTTCGAATGGTGCCATAACAAGCAAGTAAGAAGTACGCCTTTGACCTTGTATAGACTTGCTGTACGTATTAAAGTCCATCAACTCATTAAATCTCCCTTCAAACATCTCCAGCTTTGTTAATCTGGCAGCATCCGATCCATTAATTTTTAAAGTACTTGATTCAACGTACAATACCAAATACTGCAGACAAGAAAGCTTAGGTAGAATTGCAATTGGAAGTTCCTTTAAGCATTCTGCATATAAATTAAGATATGTTAGATTTACTAACATTTCCAAACCATCAGGCACCTTTTCAATAGCTGTATAACAGAGGTCCAACTTTCTCAGAGCCTTAAGCTTTTCTAATGAAGGCACATATCTCAACTTGTAACATCCAAAAAGCACCAATGCATTGAGCTTTTCCAAGTTCGACACAGAATCGGGCAGTTGCTCAATATTGGTATAAGAAAGATCGAGAATGCAGAGTCCATGCATATGCTGAAAGAACAATTCTGGAATCCGCTGTAAGTTCTTATTTTCTTGCAACAATAAAGTTGAAAGAATCTTACAATTGGGTGACAAGTCCGGAGGAAATTCCGATATGTCATTCCTCATCAATGAAACTTTTTCAAGATCTGCTGCCCATTCTTGCTTGCTTGGTAATTCTCTCAATCCCAGGCCAGCTTTTACCATAAAACGTCTACGATCTTTGATATACAATGCCATATCTCTCAATACATCGTGCATCTTCACATTTCCATCATCAACCTTTTCCAACAAACAATTGTTTTCCAGCCTATTTAATATAGTATGACCCCTATCATAGAGTTCTTGTCGACTCCCAATTCCAAGAAATCCGTCATCTATCCAGTATTCTATTAATTCCGCCCTTGAAATTACAAAGTCTTCTGGATATAATGAGCAATACAGAAAACAGTTTTGGATTTGTGAATCTCCCAAACGATCATAACTGAATTTTAATCGCTCGTATATTTCCTCTTCTGTGCCCTTCACACTTCTTATATGTTCACGTAACTCTCTTAATGCATTCCTCCATTCATGGACATCATATATTCCCTTCATACTCCCAGCTAGGACAACAATGGCAAGGGGTAACCCATCACACTCCTGAACAATATGGCCCAAAATTTCTTTTAAAGATGGAACTTCTAAAACCCCACGTCCAACATGCTCTAAGAATAAATTCATGGACTCCTCATTTGAAAGTGGTTGTACTTTAACTATCTTATAGCCCATAGACACACAAACATCAATAGATCTACTAGTTAATACTAATTTACTCCCATTTCTCGAAGTTGGTTGAGGGATCCCTAACGCCAAGAGAGAGAACTTTTCCCAAACATCATCTAAAATCAATACATATCTTCTTTTTCCCAATTCTTCCATTAATACTGCTACACGTTCTCGTTCTTGTTCAGGTTCCGGAAGAGATGCAATATTCAGAGCATTTGCAATGACCTGCTGCACTTTGGTGGTGTTGAGTTCCTTCGAAACAGTGACCCAAATCACATTGGCAAACAGAGCTCTAGTTTCCTTCAAAAGCTGATTGTATATGTGCTTCATGACAGTAGTTTTCCCCATTCCACCCATTCCGCAAACTCCAATCATTCCAATTTCATTACCCATCAAGTAGTTCCAAATTTCTTCCTTCACAATGGTCTCACCTTCTAAATATTCCAATTCAGCAGCCACTCCAGCAGTGGATAGATTATCAATTACTAGAGCTCCGGTGAATTTACCTCGTTCAATAGTTTTCTGCACTAGTTCAATTATTTCAGCAACACGTTTTCCTAGACATGCACGTGAAAAACAAGACACATTTTGCGCTCTTTGATACATGGCCTGTATTTTCTTATTGACCTCTTGCACATCTAGAAGCCACTTCTCCACTTCTCCTTTTACAATTTTTCCCCATCGAAGCTCTGCTTTTATTGTCAATTCTATGTCTCTCCTCCGAATATTTAGATCGCCTTCTCTTGCTCGAAGATCATTCATCCTTTCTTCAAGTTTTCTATGATGGTCTATGTATCTGCACGTTGGATCTCCTAAGCACTTCAGCACATCAATAATTGGCCCTACAAGCTCCATAATTGAGCAAATCTCCTGCAATATAATGGCATTAAATACAAGCATTAGTAACATTTATTCTTTTTATATTGGATCCATTATTAGTGTATGATTATATATACGGAAAATGTTTCTTGAACTTACTGCCCCAACTATTTATATCTCTTGATGTAACAAATTTTCATTGGTTTAAATTTAAACAGCGTATTTATGAATAATTTTACCTACCATAAATTGGTCGATCTCATCATTAAATAAAATTTACCATATCACGAGGGACAAGTAAGAGAGAAACTTGTAGGGTCAAATAGCACTACTCTATATCTTAGAAGTTAATGCTTAAATTAACAAATTTCTTAACCAATTTTTGATACAATAACAATTGTTATTCATTACTAATTTCCAAATCTTATTTATAATTTAACTTTTGACCTTAAAAAGTTATTGAATTACACCAACGAAGCCCAAGCTGCCGGCTACTTTTTCATACATATGTTCTCTCTTTCTGAGTTTGAAATTACTGTAAACACCTCATTCCGCATTTATTCGAAATTTTTTAAAGTTTCAAATTCGGTTTGCAATTGGGTTTTATAACTCATTTTAATTCAATGGACTTGTAATTGGGTTTTAAAAAAGGCCCATTTGATTTGCAATTAAGATAGATGAATTTTTAGAAGCTCAATCTCCTTTTTATTTTGGATAACTATCTAAATCGGGATTCAACTATTATATATTCCTAAGTTGTTGCAACAATTAAGGGGGAAAGCAATTGCACAGAGAGAATTCACACAAAAGAGAGTGAAAATAGAAAAAAAAAAGATGGGTGAGAGTTTGGCCAGAAGAGGGTACTAATTTGGAGTATTTTTTATTTGTTTTTCCGGGTTTGAAAGGTTTTAAGTGTGATTTTGAGGACAAATTGTAGATAATAGTGTTTGTGAGATCAAATCTGTCGAGGGGAGGATTTGCTAAATTTTTTTTTTAAAAATCCAGAAATTCTCCAAATTCCATTGAGTTTTTCAGTAAGTCTTTGGTATTTTCGACAAAATTTCAACGACATTTTAAAGTTGTCGATGAGATTTTTCAAAATCTAGTGCTATAGTTCATCGTTTCTGAGTTTGGGAAGATTGAGGTTAGAGAAAAATTAGCTCAGAGAGAGAAGGGAAATAAATGGTAAGGCAAAAACTTGGCTTTTATAGAAGCCGAAACACACTCTTTTATTAAAAGAGAATCCATGTGCTTCCGTTAGCCCAATCCGACTAGAGTGCTCGCAACTCCCGACTCGTTTTAGCATCCAGCAGTTCGAGCTGGGTTGAGCCACCGAGCCACACCACTTACTAAGCCGAACTGGTAAGATTATTTTTATTTTTTGTATTTTTATATATTTTATATATTTATTGTTTTAAATTTTTTAAATAAAAATAAAAATAAACATTGTTAAAAATTTCATCAAAATATAGGAGAGTTAATTTTTAAAATATTAAAATAAAATCTTATCAACACATTAAAACGTTTAATAATTTTTTTAAAAAATAATTTTTAAAAAATAAACTATAAAACATTATTAATATAATGAAAAATTTTGTGATTTTAATAATTTTTGAGAAATAAAATAAATCCATATAGTAAATTTTGATAAATTTAAAAATAATGTTTTCAAAAAAAAATTATTAATAGATATTTTTGCATAAAAAATCTTACGGTATATGAGTTTTAGATTAGTTTATTTAAATTTGAATTTGCAATTTAGGCTTTGAATTGATTTGGGACTAGTTTGGGTCTTAAGTCTATCAAATATTTGATTTTTTAATTTATTTATTTTTTTAGTTTATAATTTATTTTTGAAAAAAAAAAAAAACCAAAAATTAAAAAAAAAAACAAAAGTTGAAATGGATGATGATTGGAGATAAAATTGTTTTGGGGATTGAATTTATTCAAACCGAAATCCTTATGAATATGTTGATTTAAGATTTCTGTGTAGGATTGGACTAATGGATTATAAACAAACAGCAACCATCAAAAAGGAACACTTGCAGAAAATTCAATGAAAACAACAGAAAAAATCCAAGACCAATGACCCAAACTATATTCTCTTTCAAAGAGAACCATAAAAAATCAACAGCCCTCAATCAACAACAATAACACAAAACAACACAAACATAAATCACAATAAAAAGCCTTTTGGGAATGAGGTATTTTGGGGTTGTGTGGGCTGATTTCGAGACTCTTGTTTTTAGGTAGGGAGGGAAAGAGAAATAGTTTAGGTGGTGGGTTTAAGGATTTTCGAAGGCCATTGAGTCACCACTAATGGCGGTTTAGCGGTAGCAGACGTCGGTGGATAGGGTTTTGGAGATCGTAGTCCACCATAAGGAAGGGTACAAAGAGTTTTAGTTGTTTTCAGAGAAATCTAGCTAGGAAATTGGAAAGAGCGGATCGCGATGAGAATTTTGGTACAAGTTTAACACTGGTGGCCGGCGGTGATCGGCGATTGACGACGGCTGACAGAGAAGAGCGGTCCCGGAATCTGGGAAAGCTTGACAATCTGGGCCGGGATTCATCTTGGTTAGAGAGAGGGTGAGAGAAAATTCGGTCAGCTAGAGTCGTGAACGGAAAAGTTCAAAGGCAAATAAATTTTTTGAAGTTTTATACAAAGCTGAAACGTGGTGTTTTGAATAGCCCAAAATCTGCACCTTTTTTTGTTAGCCCAACCCGGAACCCGTGTAGAAGACTTGAAAACCCGGGGTTCCTTCTTCAGCTGAGCCTATTGAGGGAGCCATTTTGCGAGCCGTCTAGCCATTACATTAGAGGAGCCGAGACAGTTTTTGGTTTTTTTTTTTTTATATATATTTTTGTTCTTTATTTATTTGTTTAAATTAATAATTTCTTTTAATTAAAATTAAAAATTAAATTCATAAATCTGAGTTAAGGTGCAGACCTCTTTAAGAAAGATAGATATATTATATAACCAATCATATCTAAATAAAAAATAATTAATAACAAATTTCATGTATAGTGTCTAATGATCGAGTTTTGAACTTGATCGTAAGTTCAATGTTTTCATATCATAAAATTTAGTTTTGGATATCCCAATTATAAAATTACTAGAGTGTTATAAATAACAATTTATATGTAAATTTATTGATAAGGAATTCTTTCTAAATTGACATATTGAAAAATTAAAAAAAATTTAATATCAAAGATTCCTATAAAATTTGATTTTGTATGACTAATTTTTTTTTATATTAATGAATTTAACGATAAAACTTCTTTAAATGTGATATATAATTTATTTAAATTCTCTTAAATTAAAAAATTATTTTTAAATTATTATTAATATATTAAAATAATTTAAAATAATTTTTAATAATTAATTACTTAACAATATTTTTTTAAGATTTAGATAAACATGAAACCAAGTATAATCTTTTGAATGTGCGTAATAAAAATGCCAGAACCTTCATTGCACAAAATTCTACTTACGAATCTTATATGGTTTCATAAATTATAATCTATTCTTTTAAAGAACCTAAACCAAGCTTCAAGTAATCAATTACGCCTGACTGACAGTGTATGATCAGAAAGCTTACCTGAGAAATTACTATATATAAAAGAGGACAAAAGAGAAAGTTCCAAGCGATTGATTCTCCGAATTTGTTCTGCATATCCATAAGTAAACAGGCACAACTAATCAGAGAGACCACAAAATCCACTAAAATACAAAAGCTATTGGATCTGAGAAAATAACTAGTAAAAAATTGGACTCAGAAGAAGAAGAAGATGTATCTTACCTAAGTGTCTTCTTATTTTCTATATATAAATTCAGAATTGTTGCCTTAAAGATGAGAAATATGCAACCAAGAAAGGAAAATGAATGAAAGAAACAACAAAGTGGAATCCAAGCACTTGATTAGAGTAGAAAAAGGAAGAAGACTAAGATGCCCAGTAGCAAATCTCTTTCTTCTCTCACGGCAAGAAGAGCTGATGAAGTTTGAATTACCAGTACCCAAAAGGCATGAGGTCTTTAAGGAGAGAAAAAATACAGTAGTTGTTATTTACAATTGAAGGGAAAAAAAAATAAGTTCATGTCATACTTTCAACAACTTGTTGTTAAAAAATGATTTTAAAATTAAAAAAAAAAAAACTAATAATTTGACTGATGCGTTGAGATTCGCGTCAAGTCAAGTTTTTTTAGACTTACCGTGAAATTTTAGCTGGTGGTATACCGCAAAATGCGCATTTTGCGGTACAGAGGCATACCACTAACTAAAAGATAATAATTTTTTAAGCAAAAATATATAAAATATACAATTGGGAGAAAAATATGTATTATTGCATTAATTAAATTATTTCAGTCACTATCATGTGAAATTCGGGGAAAGCTCCGATCAAAAAATATTAGGAAGAATAATAATAGTTCATCGTTATCATATAATATATATATATATATTCATAGATATAAAATTTATTTATTTTTAATTAAAATTATTAAAAATCAAATTTTATTCATTAAAATTAAAAATTACACATTGTCAATAAAAATTTATTTATTTATTTAACAAGATAAAACTCTTAAGTGAAAGTAACCCAAAAATTGTAATATTAAAAATTAAAAAAAAAAAGTTGAGAGTCAACAAGCTAATATGTAAATGACTAAATGAGTCAAGAAACCAAGCCAATTTGTATAAAGCATTATAAAATCTCAATAAACCCCAAAAAAATCCAACTCCGAATGGAATTTTCTTCCCACTTTATTTGGTATTTATTTTTGTGTTAATTGATTTTCCCTGTAATTACAAATGATGCCATGTGTTTAAATTTGATTGAATTATTATTACAATGTAGAAAGAATGCTAGGGGCACTCGCACAAACAATCAACCAATGATACTCAAAATTTTATTTGCCACATCAATCCATTTTCGCAATTTAAAGCCTGCTATGATCTCTTTTCAATAGTCAATATTTTAATTTTGTATTTATCTCAAATCTTTGCACAAAGACTAAAATAGCCTTTTGCGTCTTCCTAGAATAAACCAACAATTAATTTTTTCTGGTAATATTTTTAATTTAATTTTCTTGATAATCAATTTTATCATAAATAATATTTAAATCTTTACTACATAGAAATCAAATATATTGCAATATTTTTTTCACTCAAAACTTTTTTCTCCGATGGTTGAACTTTTTTTGTTCAATCCATTTTTTCAATATCTTTTATTAAGTTAAAAAAATTAACAAAATATATTTAATCCAATTGTATTTTTATCAATTAAAAAAATAAAATTGAGAAAAAGTACCTAAAGTCCAATTTTTTTTTATATATTGAGGTATTCCTATGATACATAAATAAAATTTTTCTCTAAAATTTTACATTGTTCTAAAAACTTTTGTTTCGTAATTAATTTTATAATAAGGGATAGAAATATACGTGCATGATTTTAAAATATTTCCAACTAAATTTTGTCTTATTAGCTTTTTCTCTTAAAATTATAATTAAATTTTATTTTAAGGTAACACAAATATTTTAAGTTGGTGCAAATATAAAAGTAGTTATACACAAATACACCCTTACACTATCAAATTTCTAACTACTTGCACCTAAAATTTTGAGGAACTACAAATAAGATTAACAAAATAAAAATAATTAGCGTTGATTGTCATGAAAATAAATATTTTTAAATGGCAGATATCAACTTATAAAATTACTAATAAAAATCTAAAATTACTTTTTTATATTTATTTTTGAAAAATGAAGATTAAAACAAAAAAGAAAAAAAAGAGGTTAAGGATGACATTGCCATCAGTAAACTTGATCAGATTTAGGATGATTGATCTCTACTTATGCTTCTAAATTCAATTTATTAAGGTTTAAATGTCTTATTAGATTACATTTTGGTACACCAACGGCCATGATCGTTAGAGTTAGTGTTAAAAATGATGAGAGGGAAAGGAAGGATTAAAAAGAAAAGAGAAAAAAAAAAAGGAAAAGGAAAAGGAGAAACGAGAAAGAAGAAAGAAGAAAGAAAAATAAAGAAATTGGAGAAAAATTGAAAATGGGTAAACTTCGAAGAAAAATGACATCTCCCTTCTCTTTTTTATTGAAAAGCTAAGGGATAAATAAATAATTTCAGCTTTTGTTCAAAATTATAAAAGTTCATATCTCCTTCTTGTAATATTTATTGTTGTCATTCTATTTGATTGTAAATGTTTTTGCTATGTTACCATAATTTGTAATTTTCCCATCATATATCATTTTTTTGATCTTACGTGTGGCGTGGAGTAAATATAACGTTTGTTAGTCTTAATAAATAATTTGTAACATCAAGTATTCAATTTTGAGTTATAAAAGTTGACTGACGTGATTTTGTAAAATTTTGAGAATTAAGGTGCGATTGATAATATTTATTATTTTTATTCTATTTGATTGTAAATATTAGGCTACCGTAATATTTAATTTTCCCATCAAATGTCCTTTTTGGATGGTACGTGTGGTATAAAGTAAATCTAGCATTTCTAAATCTTAATAGATAACTTCTAATATCGAGTATTCGATTTTGAGTTATGAGAGTTGACTGACGTAATTTTTGTAATATTTTGAGTTTTAGGCATTATTGATTAGTTAGCTACCCTTAGCATTCCTCTACAATTTTACTTTTAACTTAAGCTTTAGGTGATATTATATGGGAAAACATATTAAATTGCTATAACAATAAACATAAAAGAGATCTCATAACATAACAAAACAAAGGAAATGAATATGTGTCCTAAATATAACGTCATGAGTTTAGTTGATTGCTTCTCGAACAGTAATCGCCATTGTTTTTCACTTGGTTGCAAGCTAAGGATTTTGATTGCTTGTCCCAACTTTTGAATAACATGGCATTTTACATAAGGAAGGACCAAGAAAAATGGAGGATTAGAGACAATGATACATATAGCAAAGTTTTATCCAAGAACAACATTAATGATCAAGAGTTCAATTAAACATCTTGCACAATTCAATTATCCTTATTGCAGTAATTTAAAAAAGGTAAAAGGATATTCTTTGCATTTGGTGTTGGAATTTTCTATATGTGAGTTACTTTTAATTAGTGATTTTAATAATTTAATAAAATCAACTAATAAGTTTAGTTTTAATATGAGATAAGAATAAAAATTTAAATAATTTTACATGATTACTTAAGCATAGGCTTTACATATCTTACTGGATCAATGTAATTTAACGATTGTATAGGCTTTTGACCCAATAAGCCTTTAATAGAGAGGCTTCTAGGGTTTTTAATGAAAAAGGCTAAGACTCCTTATTCACTTCCATGAAATTAAAGCCATTATTGCATGAAATTAAAACCTTAAAATCACGTTTTCTATTTAATTTTTGCGTGAATTGCTTATTTGGAGTGAAATTTAGTTGTTATCATAATCTTAATTTTCAATATTTATTTTCAAAATTGATTTAAGGCTTTTGTTACTCTCTAAAAGAAAATTAAAACCATATAAAGAACATTTATTAATTCCTTGTATAGATAGAGAAATCGGAGTTGAGAGTTTTTGGTTTATGTTTTAATCTAAATTTTTGTTTTGATTAAAACATTAATATTTTTCTGTGATTAATTCGAAATTGATTTTTGAATCAAGTTTATCATGTGTTATAAAGTTACATTAAAGTGTTTAATTTCATAAAATGTTCATTTAGATTGACCAAATATAAAGAAAACAGAAACAAGTAAAATATGAGTTTATGTAATCTGAAAATTTTTTATCAATTGATTCTGTTTTTATTGTTTTTTGATGGGTTTTTCTCATAAGCTTCGTACAAAAATGATTTAATTGAATTTTTGAAACTTCAATTTTATTAAAATATCAAGAAAAATCATAAAAATGGATGAAAATCTTAAACCGATCAAACGAAACAATTCATCCAGTCATGTCATCATCTATAAGGTATAAAAGGTAGAGTAAAACTACGCAGGTGACATATTTACAACACCTCATTCTCAACTTTCTCTACCTATTCTACGCTCTCTCTCATTTTCCTCTCCTGCATATCTTGCTAAATTCAGCTTCGGGAAGCATTTAAGAGTACTATCTCCAGTAGTCAGCATCAAAACGCGTTCATTAAAGCTGGTCCAGCCGAATCGAGCCAAGTTGAAGCCATTAAACTACTCCAAACAGGTGGGTTAGGTAATTTTATATTTTATATATTTTTATATATTATTATTTTGTTATTTATTTTCTTGTTTGCACATTTTAATTTTCATATTTTCCAAAAAAATAAATATACATTATCTTTTTAAAAATAATAATAATAAATGAAAATAATTTCTAAATTTTTTATAATTTTAAATTTAGAAAAATAACAAAAACCAAAAAATAAATAAAAATATTTAAAATATGAGGAAAGAAAATTTTCATCTAATGGCGGGATTGTAAGATATTATGAGTAATGATGCTTTAAAAAAATCTGTAGGTAAAAAGATATTTTAAATACTACAAGCATATTGAAGTATTTATAAAAAGTTTTTAAAAAAATAAAAATCTTTCTTTTTTATAAAATAAAATAAAAAATTAACTAAAAATTATTAATAAAAATAAAAATTAATTAAGAATTATTACTAAAAAAATAAAAAAATAACTAAAAAATATTAATAAAAATAATAAAAAATGATAAAAAAGAAAATTTTACTCGATAATGAGATGTTAAGATATTTTGAGTAGTGGTGTCTTAAAAAAACTCTAAGTGAGAATATTTTTTTAAATATTACCAATATATGGAATATTTATAAAAAATTTTTTAATAGGATAAAAATTTCCCTTTTTTTCGTAGAAAATAATAATAAGAATTCAAAAACTAATAAAATTTTAAAAGAAAAAGTAAAATGTGTGGATTAATATATTGTCATTTGCATTATATGCATGTCCTTATTTTTATAAAATATAAATATGAACCTCTGAGGATGAGATTCTAAGGTATTCCGAGAAGTGATATCTAAGAAATCTTTAGGTAAGGAAAAGTTCATTTAATATTACTAACATATTGAAACATTTTAAGAATTATTTCAACAAAAATGTTCAAATTTATTTTTCTCAAATAAAATGAAATAACAATAAAAAAAGGAAAAAACTAAAATTTTGATAAATAAAGGAAATCAAGAAAACTATTCTAAACACTAAAACTAAAACCCTTTTTTTGTTAAGATTAAAAGAAAATATGCAATTAATTGGTACCGTTTTTAATTTACGCTGTGGGGATGCTAATTCTTTTTTATGTGTAACCAACTCCTGAACCCAAACTATTTCATGGACTCTAAAATTATATTTTTAATAAATTAATTAATTTTAAGATTTTATAAAAAAATTATGTTTTAATAGGTGACCAATTATACATAACCCAAAAATATTAGTGGTGATTTCATTTTCTTTTTTGTTTTCAAATTCATCATCCAGCTCCAAAACCATTATAATAGTAACTCAAGTTATTAGCAATGAAAGTTTCTTATTTGACTCAAAATAAAAGTTAAATTTTATTTAATTGGAGTAGATAAAATCCCAAAAATTTATTTTGATAAACAAACTTCATAACATATTTTTATAGCTTTTAAAATGGACATAACTTATTTTTATTAACAATATAAACATACAGGTATAAATGCAAAATTTTGTTTATTTTTATCATGTATTTTTTATTTTATGATTTTAAAATTATTTATCATATTTATTTTTTAAATCAGTTTTTTTTAATATATCATTTCAATATTTGACTTTTAAGTATGTTATAATTTTTAAAGTGTAAAATAGGTGTCTATAAAATACTAATGTTTATATGTTTATAAATATTTAAGAAGAAAACTAATCTATGCATTACACAGGTCATAAGCTAGTATAATATTATATTACGACATACATACACACCTGATAAGGTTGTCATATAGAAGCTTACATGAATAATCTTTTTGAATGACACGTAAGGTAATAATAATTAAATATTATTATCTTTTTATCTTTTTAAATATATAAAATTTTTTAAATATATATAATTATCTTTTTATATATTTTTTAAATATATAATTTAAATATATTGTTATCAAAAAAATCTGTAAATAATAATTAAATCTTGTTATCAACAAAATCTAATTTAAATATATTATGCTTTTAAATTTTAAATGAGTTTTGTAATAATATAGAAAATATCTTTTTAAATTTAAAAATCTCAAATGTAAAAATATATATGATATTTTAAAATAGATTTCCTAATAACCTAAATATATATATATATATATCCTTTTAGATCTAAAAATCCCAAATATAGTAATATATATTTCGATTATTTATAGATTAATTTAATTACATATATCCACCTAAATTGCAAAATTTCTAATGAAATAAAAACAAAAAACATTAACAGAATAAAAAAATTCAAAACTTTAAAGCACCCAAGTAAATCTTTTAAAAGAGAAGAATAAATCTCAAATGTACAATATATTTTTTTAAAATGGATTTATTAATGATCTAGATTTATATATCCTTTTAAATCTAAAAAAATAAAATGTATTGATATATTATCTTTAAAATGGATTTCTTGATTACTTTAAAAAATAATTTTTTTGATAATCTAAATAAAAATTTTTTTAATTTCAAATTCTCAAATGTAGATTTTATTTTTAGAGATTTTATAATAATCCTATATTATTTGATTATTTTTAAATTCAAAAAGGATCAAATATCACATATTAGAACAAATAACTTAACAAAACTCTTAAAACTAATTATATTTCTCTATTTTTTTTTCTCTACCTTTATGTGTGCTTTTTCATATTTTGCAAAGTATAAAGTTACAATTTCCAAAAGCATTTATTCTTCTCTTTTATAAGTGTTGGTTGCATGCTCCTTTTCTTTAACTTATAAATATCTACATTAAATTTGCTTTTTCGATAATCGCTTTTATTTCTAAAATAGGTTTTATGTTTCATAATACTATTGGAAATAGTAATTGACAAATTTACTTGCAGGCCTCAAGTAGCGATACCATGTGCAATAATTATATGCCACCGATTTTATATCTACCAGTCTCATACAAAGAATGATTGGTAGGTAGATGTTTTGTTACTCTATTTTAATGCTTAATTGCATCTTTCCACTACCAGAAAAATGATTTTTACTGATAGAATTTTTCATTAGTAAAAGTCAATATTTTGTCGATAATACTTTTACCAAATGAATTATCAATGGAAAATTTTGATTAGTAGTAAGTAAGTTGATAATGCTATTTCATCAGTGAAAATCAAATTCTGTTGGTAATTACCAATGAAATTTTTTCGTCTGTAAAAATTTTATAAGTAAATTTCACAAGTAATCCGTCACTAAAGTCAATCGATAATTCATTGGTAATTAACTGAAAATTGGTCATTGATTTCATTGGTAATGTAATCCATTTGTAATCCATCATTAATACTAAAATATGTCGATAATAATGAAATTTTATTGGTATAATTTTTAATTTCATTCATAATTTGATTAAATTTATCTATAATTATTTAAGAAACCTATAACATGTGTACTTAATTCAAAAGCTTGTTATTTCTATTATTATTAATAAAAATAAAAAAATCCATATGTAAACTCCACATAATAATCATTAACAAATCTAAATTATAAATTTAACATTTTTAACATCTCTAACTCCACCAAATATAATACTAAAAGTCAATTCATAATATCCATAAAAAAATCCATAACATCCACATCCATAAAAATATCCATAAAGATAAGAACTCACTGTGTTGTTGCATCTTTTGATCCAGAATCAGTGTTACCATTGTCAAGTATAGAAAATTGTGTTGGCAAAACTTGTCTAGACCTCATCAACTGCCTTATTTGATCTATGAAAGGCCTAAGCTTAGTCCTCAACTCGATCCTTAACTCATCAATTTGTTCATGTATTTGATGCTGAAGAGGCACCAATGATAAATCACAAATAAAGTGAGACGTTGTGCTGTAGGAGTGGATTAACTTAAGTAAGATAGATCCTTAGATCTATCTGCAGATTTAAAACCATATACATGAGTGCACATAGCTTTAACCTCTCCAATAGCTTCAATCCATACTTGTGGATTGAAATCTAGATGATTGAAAAAGTTTTCATCATATTTATGAGATAATGCAGCAACATAGTTTTCCTATAAAAAGTTTTAAATATTTATGATTCCAACACAAGCACACCATCATTCCAACATAGTTCAATACATTCATTCTACAATGTTTAGGCTTTCAATAACTACACACTATCTACTTCATCAATAATTACAATATACAACTAGAATCACAACGTAAAATACATGATAGTTTTCACCTTTCACAAAATCATTGCATCTCAATAAGCACAATACTTCAATTTCCTACAATGTTTTAGTCTTTCAATTACCACACTATCTATTTAATAGACTATATAGTCATTGCATCTTTGTCCATTTTTTCAACCCTAATTGTATCATCATAAAGGTTGAAAAAAATATTAGTCTATAAAGGTTGAAAAAAATATTAGTCTTAGTATATTAAACTGAAAAATAAGTAATTAAAAGTCAATTTTAAGCAATTATGGAATTTTAAATTGAAAAAAGATAAAATTTGGTACCTTATCTTCTTTATAGCTTTTTATAGAATTGTTATTGGAAGAGAATTATGTAACAAAATTAAACAATTTCTTTTTTTTATTGGCTAATCATTGTGAACAAATGGTTCATGATTATATAAATGAATATTTTTACTCAAAGAGATATACTAAGGCAATGTTCAAAGAATTCCTTTCTTAACTATGAATTGTATGTATGCCAACCATAGTATAAGTTAAGGATAAAAGTATTCAATATTTAATTTTAATGTTTAAAATTTAATTTTTAATAATCTTAAATATAAAAAAAATTGCATGGATGATCCTAAAACAAAGATTCAAGTATCAATTTTGGAATATGAAACTAAAAAGACCTACTATTTTTCTCATTACATGTATTGTTTCTCTATGTAATTTTTAGCATCAAAATTTAAAACAAATTATTGAAATGAGTATATGATTAGGATTTAGGACTTAATTATCAAATGTTTAACTCAAATCTTTAAAAGTATATAACAACCATTGCATTCAGATGATTCAAAATTCTTAATTACTTAAACTTTTAAGTTTATTTAATTTATCTATGTTATGTATTAATGTAAACCTTGTCAAAATACAATTATAGTAAAAGGAATTTTTTTAATATTCCTATTTTTAATTATCACTTTACTATTTTTTGTAATGTATTTAAAAAAATTATACAAAATTTTTTGAATAATATCAAAATGTGATAAATGCATACTAATTCCAAATTTGTCTTTAAAGAAATATAAAAATCACAAAGCAGTAATAAAATTATACCTTGGTAGATTATGTTGTAATCACAGGCTCAAGGTGCAATGGAGAGAAGGGGCACATATGGGCTCGAGGGCAGTAAGGGGAAAAGGACATGGCCTTAAGGGAGGAGAGGAAAAGAATAAAACAGGTAAAAGGCGGAGCCATGGGGAGAACGACGTAGGCTTAAGGCAACGTACGAGTTGGAGGGCGGCATAGAGAGGATGACACGGAAGGATTGAGGTTGATGGGGGTTTATAGGTGAGAGGAGAGGAAAGGAGAGGAGAAAGAGGAGAGAAGAATAAGTAAGGAAGAGAATAACAAGAATTAGGGATTGGAATTGGGAAAAGAAAAGAAAAGGGGAGAAAAGAAAGGGGGAAAGAGGTTTTAACTAAAAATAGACTTTTAGCAATGGATTGGTCGATTCAAAATTTTTTTTGACTTTTGGCAAACAAATTACTCGACAAAATTCATTGCTAAAAAAAATTGCTCTCTAAAAAAAATTTTTTAAACTTTTTTGTTACTAAAAATTCCTCTTAGTGATGGAATTTTTTTCGTCGACAATCCATTGTCGAAAACTTTTAACAATGGATTATCATGAAAAAATCCATCGCTATAAGTGGCACCAAAAGCTTATTTTCCCATGCTAACTTTTAGTGATAAATTATCTACAAAATTTTTCCGTTGGTAAATTTTTTTTTTTTTGTATTTATGATGATAAACAATCGCAAATCTGTCAACAAAAATCCATCGATATGGAACTTATTTTCAGTAGTGGTCTCTTTCGAAATATTTAGAACTCTTTGTTTCCAAGTATAGGTGCTAATAAAGAATAGATACATATGTAAAGTAGTTTGCATGAGACCTTTTATCAACAAACATGCACATTAACATTTAATTGCATTCTTTGCTCTAAAAAAAAAATTTAACTGCATTCTTTGGAAATAGAATATTACTGATTTGATCTTAGAAATGAATTATTACACATATGATATTATTACATATTTTTATTTCTTTTCTAATATTTATTAGTTTTTATTCTGTTTGATAATTGTCTCATGAAAAACTTGACTTTTCTTAATATAGAAGAACTTGGCTCTAATTATTAAAATTTTTAAATCTAGCTGGCTTGATTTTTTCATTTTTGTTGGTGAATTGTGTAGACGATTATAACTGTAAGCACATTTCTCGCCTAAAAAATACAAGAAACACCACATTTGTTTCAAGATGCTATTATTGTAGGCTATGAAATAAAGAAACTTTTAGTATATTCTTTAAACATTTAAAATCATTATTTCTCTTAAATAAATAAAATTTATCTTAAAATTATATAAAATTGTAGGTACTAAAAAATGATTGGACAAAATGGATATGCATATTGGAAAAAGTTAATTCGAAGTGATGAAACTTATAGTTTTTATTTTAATATTTTGTTCATGTACTCAATATTATTATTTATAATATTTTCTAGATATGTTATTCTTCTTCAAATATTATTTTTCATATTTTTAAAATTTGTTAAATTCTTAGTAAAAATTTTTAATTTTATGATGATTTGATATCTTACTTATAGTACACGTATTTTACATATATCTTGAATATATAAGATAATAAATAGTTTTAATTTATATGTCTACACAAATTTAAACAAATAAAGATAATCTATGAACGTATAGGTAACAAACTAGTTAATCAATAAAATCCAATGTATAAATGGTGCAAATTTGCACCAGAATTTGTCATATGTCAATTATCTAATTTGCTACGTGACAGTCTCTTAATTTTATTTTATTTTTTTATTTTCCTGGATGGGATTCAGTTTTTTTTTTTTTTAATTTTTTAAAGAGGTGGACCATATCTCTTTGTTATTTTTTGGGATCTACACCTTTTTTAATTAGTGGGACGCATCATTTTTTTTAATTTTTTAAATTTATGAAGCCCTACATTTTTTTTTATATATTTTTATTGATTTTTTTTGTTGGATCTATATTCTTTTTTGCATTAGTTTTTTAGGGGTGAGACCTACTACTTGATTTTTATTTTTTTTCCCTCTCGATATTTTATTATATTCAATAATTTAAAAAGTTAAAAAATGTTTTTAAAGTTTTTTTCATATGGGATTCACTTGTACCAAAAAATTTTTATGATTTTTTGTTCTTCTTCCTTTTTTTAATTTCTTGCAAAAAAAAGTTTTTTTTTTCATTTTAATTTTATTTTAAAACTCACTATCAAGGGTACACCACATGTTTCTTCTTCTTTTTTTTTTTTTTAGATTTTCTTCTTTTCTTATTTTTATGTAATTGATAAATCACTTAGATTTATATATTTTTTTGTTAGATTTACTTTATATCAATGACATACAATATATTAAGCCATTTGATTTTTTTTTTCAATTTTTTTGTTAATTGTTTTAATATTTAATAAATATATTTTATATTTTGACTTGTTTTAATATGGGCCATTTGACTTTCTAAATCAGGCAGTTGCTCAATATTGATATAAGAAAGATCGAGAATGCAGAGTCCGTGCATATGCTGAAGGAACAATTCTGGAATCCTTTGTAAGGACATGTTGTTTCGCAACAATAAGGTTGAAAGAATCTCACAATTGGTGACAAGTCCGGAGGAAATTCCGATATGTAGTTCCTCATCAATGAAACCTTTTCAAGATCCTCTGCCCATTCTTGCTTGCTTGGTAGTTCTTTCAATCCCACGCCAGCTTTTACCATAAAACGAGGACTAATATTTTTTATGTACAATGCTGTATCCTTCATTACATGGTGCATCTTCATATTATTTGTACCACCATCCTTTTCCAACAAACAATTGTTTTCCAGCCTATTTAATATAGTATGACCCCTCTCATAGAGTTCTTGTCGACTGTCAATTCCAGGAAATCCCTCATCTATCCAGTGTTCTATTAATTCCATCCTTGAAATTATAGTCTTCTGGATATAACGAGCAATAAAGAAAA